GTAATAATTTATATATGTAAAATATCTATAAAAGCACTACTTTCTGATCCTTCAAGAAAGTTAAGTGTCTTTATACACTTCAATAGGAAGTGTCTTCATACATTTCATAGTGAATAAACTGAATATAATTTTTAGTATCTTTATATACTATCTATTGTTGCCTCTGCCTTAAAATCCCAAATCACTCTGAATTTTGTTAAGTCTTGTGTAGACTTTTGTATAGAACCTGTTAAGTTATAGTCATCATACTATAATTGAGCAACTTTTGTTATCACTATAGTTAAAGGAAAAACTACAGGTTAACACTATATAGTAATAAGTAATTGTAAGAATAGCTGCTATAAATACTACTAGCAACAATCACAAGAGTTTAGGCATATCTTTCATAAACCATTAGCTGACAGATTAGTAATTTAAAAAACTAAATGTCTTTCTATTGTTTCTTGTTTCTTTTGTAGAATATTAGTATAAATTAATTGCTTTACTTATTTTTACAGGTTTAATGACTGCTATAATAACTGTAATAAAATAGCACTGGCTAGTAATAATAAAATAACTCAGTTTAGTAACTATGAAATAATGCTTTTTAGCAATAACAATGAAGCATAGCCAATAACCCAACTTAGTGATAACAATGAAGTGCAATCAATAATTCAACCTAACAATAACAATAAAGTCCAACCAAGTAATAACAAAATAACATAGTTTAATAATATACAATTAGTAAATAATATTAAAATGATATATTGAAAGACCAAACTACCATATTCACAAAATATAGCACTCAAGTTTTATTTGGTTTTAAATTATTAATATGATACTAACTTATTCTATATCTATTTTTTATCTTAACTATAGTGAACAGATCTTGGCACCATCTTTTGTTGAACAAACATTCAACACTTGAGAGTGTGCTGATAAATATCTTAACAATTATGTTTTGCAGAAGAATTTTGTAATTATTAAATTTAGAACCAATCAAGATTCTTTATCAGAGAAAGTTTGTAGATGATGCACTTATATGTATGATTATCAAAACAATTATATGTCTAAAAAATCTGTAATTCTAGAAAATTAGCAAAATAGTAAATTAAAATAGTCTGAATGCTCTTGACACATTAATATTGTCTTTTTAAAAAAAGCTGCAATTGTTAATATAATATCATTAAACATTGACTACAATTATTTGCTTAACTCTATAACTAACTTATATGCTACTAAAAATTAAAACACTATCTGAAGCCATCGTATAAGAAATTTGCTTTTATACAGTACAAGAAAATTTTAGTGCAATAATTTAGTACAGGCTTTTGTTTGCTAAGTTTCTTGAAATTACAATATATCCACATGATCTACAAAATTTAATACAAAAATACAAAGTAACTAATCAAGAAGAAAATAATGCATCAAAACTTCTAAGACAGCTATTTACTAAAAAAGCTAAGAAGCCAGGATGGGAAATATTTTAGGAACTTTATCATGAAACCAATAGCCTGAACAAATTATTCTAAATGTCATCAGAGCAAGTGCAATTATAGATCATCTACCATGATGTTATATTAAATGATAACACATATAAAACCAACTAGTTCAACATGTCACTTTCCTTATTCATAGTGGTTGATAATCATTTTCACACCTAGCTTGTTGCACAAGCTTTGGTAAATGATGAAACTAAAAAAAACTTATAAGTAGCTTCTTACTTCTATTTTACAAGCAACAAATTATACATCACAAGTATTTGTTACTAATGCCAATTCTGGGATGAATGCCACTATAGACAATACCTATTGTAATGCATATTCATTGCATTGTATATATTATATTTTTCAAAATCTTATATGTAAACTTAAAGCACCTCTTGATAGTGCCTATAATGATTTTGCAAAAGATTTTTTTTTGTGCCAGAATGATCTTTCTTCTGCTAGATTTAATGCCCAATGGCATAAGCTTATTGCAATATATTCTAATGCAACTCATTACCTTAATTTTGAGCTTTATTCTAGCAAAAAAAGGTGGTCTAAAGCATATATAACTAAATATTTCACAGCTGAAATCTTATCAACTTCATGTGTTAAAAGCAAAAATTCAGTAATAAAAAGTGTTCTTCAAGATCATCCTAGTCTTTGTGAACTTGCTGCTATATTAGATCTTTAGCTGTATGATGAAGCATGATATGTTAACTATAATGAATAGTACTATACTAATGCAAGTATACAGTTAAGTGGTGCTTCTGCAGAATGTTTTTCTGAAATTGACTATATTCTTAAAGAATATCTTACTAAAGAAATGCTTTTCTGATAAAAACATAAAATTGCACAATCATCATATTATTATATAGTAATAAAAAGCAATGAATTGTCTATTTCTGAATCTAGTAAGAAAGAATATGATACACAACAAATTCATTTGAATTCTCTTATAGCAGACCTCTTTTCAAATAAAATTATCAAAATATATAGAATTCGACAGTACTATTGTGCTCACATTAACTTGTTATTATTCTTGCTGATTATTTCTACTTATATACATGCATGTTACTTGTTAATTATGGCTTAGTTTGCTAACATTTTTGACATATATTTTCTATTGATAGTGTAGCATTCTTTTATATAATACTTATTTCTGTTTTTTTTTTTTTTTGGTCAAGACCAATGTTATCGATAGCTACCACATTTATTTGTGTTTTAGTTAATGCATTATATTGAACTTGTACAAGGTAAGTGTGCAACTAGCCACATGTGTAACTTTTGGTTACCTATTTAAGTAGTCCGCTGAGAGTTCTATACTAGCTGCCATGCCTATAACCTACTAAGAGGGTATCTATTTAAACACTTTGATCCTTATACTGCACCCAGGTAAGTAACACCTGATTTCTGCACATCTAAGTGCTGTTTAACCCAACATTTTAGCCTTCCTCTTTTGTACATCTGTCAAGCCATTATACATTCCAAAGCATATCACCTAACTGTAAGGTTTTGGGGCATCTTCTTGTTAACTACCTATCCACTCTACAGAACATTAATAAGGCTAGCCCTTGTAGAGTTTACCCAGATCTCAGCACCTACTTCACAGCATATCTCTAGTACTTATAGTATACTCCTGCTTTGTCTCCAAACTTCCAATCCAGATAGCTCAGAAGGACTGTAAACTGTCTTTGGTATATCAAGTCAGCCTAATATCCTTTTCTTCTGGTTTAATTCTGGTGGCCTGGTTAGTGGTACCCCTTACCTGAGGTTCTTGCTCATCTGGCTTCTCCACATTGGTATCTGTTTCCTAGGTCTAGCCTTTACAGTAGTAATGTTAAAAATCCATGTTACCTCTCTACTTGGGTCTTCTCAAGTGGGCTCTGGTTTCTCAGTTTTACAGATTTACATAGCTACAAGGACTTATTTTAGGTTTGCACCACCTAGTACTGGTTTGCATTCCTCTGTGTAACCAAGGTTACACAGATGCCCCATGACCTGCCAGTCATGCTGATGTGACTATAGTTACAGATATCTTATCCCAACTGATCAACAGAATACTGTCATTATAATACTGTTTATTTATTATATAAGTAATATCCAAATTTTTGCTGTTGGTGGGTTTTGAACTTACAACCTACCATTTGGGAGGTTGACAACTTAACCACTTCACTAAGTCACCATACCCAAATACTTATTTTTAAATGTTGGCATAAAAATAAAAAAATGCAGAATTTATACTTAGATGAACAACTCTATATAATGAATAGCAGCATAGCACAATTAAGAGAAGATTACTTATTTTGCCCCAAACTTTTTCCTATGTGCCAGATTACCAAGATTTGTAGTAATAATGTTTTTAGTTCTAAAGTTCACTGTGCAATTTAGAAACAATGTGATTATAAAAAAACTTTTAATCTTGCTCAGAAGGTTGTTTAGTCTGCAATTGAGGCAAGTAATGAATCCTTCTGCTATTTTAAAAAAAGTCTGAACAATTAGTTTGCTGAGAAACAAAGGCTAACAAATATTAACAATAATGACAAAGAGAATTTTGATCCTAATCAAGTTGAAAATTCAATTGAATGCTGACAGAAAGAAAGATCTTCGATTAAGTAGCTTAAGAGTAGCTTTAAACAAGTTAAAAGCAAAAAGCCTATTATGCAAAACAAATATAACAAATGTGGGATAGTTGGGCATTATACATCAACTTGCAAGAGCTAGAGGGAATGGTAAAGAATATAGGTTGAATGAAAAAAAAAGTAATTATAAAAAGTTTTAAATGTATAACTCAATAAATTTGACTATTATTTTGAAGCATTTATTGTTAGAATTAAAAAAGCTTCTTTATTTTTTTATTAAGCAAATGCACAACTATAATTAACAATAGTAATATTAGCATGAGAGTGTTTTATTATAAAATCAGAATTTAATTAATTTACAAGCAAACACATAATTTAGAAAGATCTAATACCTTTATTTATATATAGTAATTATATGGTACTTTTCATAATAAATATATAATTCTAGCAAATTCAAATCATATTTTGTAGAACATAACTATTCAACCTAATATCAAAATTTTTATTAATTACAATGAGTAACTGATTTGCATACCTATCTACTTTTTTTTAGAGTAAAAATATCTAGTTTTAATTCAAAGTGAATAAACCTTATAGGCAGAAGTTCATTTGATTGGCTAATAAATTCAATTTAATTTTACATTATTTATACAGTTTAGAGTACTTTTTA